CTGAAGCAAAAGAGAGTGGGATGTTCACATGAGAGCAAGTGAGTAAGGATGAATAGAGAGTGGAGATTAGAGAGAGTAGAGAAGAAAGAAGAGATTGTCAATTGCTGTTTCCAAATCAGGTCATTGAATATAATTAGATTCAACTTGAGTGCCTACCCAAATATATGCAAGACGGAATGCTGACTATGAAAAGCGAAATAAAGTCAATAAAATTTCCGCGTTCACATCAAACATGCTCGTCCGTAGATGACCTGAGGACCCTCTTCCTTTCCCGTTCGTTTCGTTCAATGAAAACCTCACCATAAAGAGGAAGTGACGTCAGGCTTTTCTCCATCAAGCCTTTCAGTACAGATTATCAATATAATGTCAAAAAAAAAAGCAATGTTTAAATGTATAAAAAGTAACGGAGTTTTTTCATTTGAAATTAATTAATTAAGATTTTCCTCTTTTTTTTTTCTCAAACGATAAACGAAAAGCGGTTTTGTTCGTTTTGAAACGATAATTATTATTGATTATCATATTGTTTCCTCGTGGAATATCACACCCGTATTAATTCGTGCCTTACACGAAAGATTAAGCGATGTCAAATGTATTCCATACTCGAGTACTCTTCTAAATATGTATTTTACTGATGGTAATATTGCCGTTTCCTGATAAAGAAACATTCAACATTCATTGCCTAATACTTCTTTCGGTTGAAATTTATAAAATCTATGTTTGAAGATAAACTTTCAGCGAAACAGGTTCCTAATTTATTTTCCCTTGTCGTTCCATAAGCTATACATTTTAGTTATTGATGCTGTTGGAAGTTATGGAGTGGTGAATAATTCATCATTCACAAATCCACGAAAACGGTTTTGAATTCTGTCAATACTAGAAAGTGGTGGTTGTATAGCGCCATCCCAGATATCGCAGCAATATTTCATTTATGGACTTATCTGGCTCTTGTACAAATAGGTTAGATAGCAAGAGGAGTCAGATACCCACATGGATACTTACCTGGTATTGCGGGTATCACGGCTTTGGCTAGCTTAGACGAGCTCTGACCAGCTTTGACAAGCTATGGGTAGCTAAGACCAGCTTAGACTATCGGCTCGAGTGAAAACCCTCGACTCGAGTGAAAACCCATCGGATCACCATGTTAAAAACCGACCTTGTGTCACAACCTGACTCAGTAGTGTTCAAATAAATCTCTACTTACTGGAGCGGTACAAATTTCTTTTATCACAAGATCGTTTATATGAATTCTACTTGAAGTCTGGGGTGATCTTGAGTCCCCAGAGACTTACAAATTAATGTTCCTTCTATTTGAGAAGGTATATCCACCCAGATAAGTGAAAGTTATAAGTTTGGTGATAGTGGAACAGTGACGTTTTACCACCCACGCTCCAGTGAGTTTCGTTTTAGACGAACTGAATTCAAACCGACAGACCTTCCCCCATTGAACCATCTCGTCTAGGTCAAAGGAGAACCTAAGATTACTATCTAAGTTTGAAGTTTTGTATCCTGTTTGTTTAATATTCCTGGGAGATAAATCTTGCAACATTAAGTATCAAAAAGAATATATATGGCAAAGGGTCCAGTCAGAATGGTGTACTGTCAGTCTGCTATGTCATAGAACCAACAAGTCTTTCCCCGATTCGGCTACTCAGGCTGGGTCAAAGAAGTTATTATCTATAAAGTTTTTGGTCTGATCTGGCTCTTGTAAAGAGAAAGTATGGCTGAAATTTTCACTGTTACTTGGATAGAATGTGGTCCCCTGTTTATTCTAAAGTCTATTTTCAACTCCATACTTCTAACATCTCCACCTAAACTCTGAAATTTTATTTACTATTATTTTTTTTTATTTTCTTTTATTTTTTCCTCAATAGGAATAGATACATTCGCCTATTGTCCGGTTCATACACTTCCATGGTCTTTTGAAAAGGAGTAAAGTGTTATCACTTGTTCCTTATATGAGTTTTTTTTTTCATTCTCTTTCACTTCCAGTAGCTCCTTGCATCTTTTTGGCATTACCGCCTGGCTTGGGGTGAATTGATTAAAAAAATAAATTAATGATGACCGCGTTTGATTCGCTTTTTTTGCGTTGATTATCAGTACAAGTGATTTTTTAATCAATTCATCCCAAGCAAGGCGATAATGCTACTAAGACGCAAGAGGCTACTGGTAGTGACAGACAATGAGAAGTCTTTAGAAAGAACCAGAAACCAACCCTAAACAAGAAACAAGGGATAAACCTCTATTCCTGTTAAGAAGACCGGGGAGAGCTGTGAACTGGTTCATAGCCATTGTATAAAGACGTGTATGTTTTGTATATATTTATACTTAAGTGCAATTTTTAAATATAACTTGAAGAAGACAGTCATAATGTCGAAACAGTGCTAAATTCCTGTATTTCCTTTTCTTACAACGTAATCTTCTCTACTACTACTACTACTAATAATAATAATAATGACAACAACAACAACAAAATAAGAATAAATAAAATAACATAAACGAGGAGAGTAATAAAAACTAAGACGAGGAGAGTAATGAAGAGTAAGATGAGGAGAGTAATAAAAAGTAAGACGATGACAGTAATAAAAAGTAAGACGAGGAGAGTAATAAAAAGTAAGATGAGAAGAGTAATAAAAAGTAAGATGAGAAGAGTAATAAAAAGATAGACGAGGAGAGTAATAAAGATTAAGACGAGGACAGTAATAATGAGTAAGATGAGGAGAGTAATAAAAAGTAAGACGATGAGAATAATAAAGAGTAAGACAAGGAGAGTAATAAAAAGTAAGACGAGGAGAGTAATGAAGAGTAAGATGAGGAGAGTAATAAAAAGTAAGACGAGGAGAGTAATAAAAAGTAAGATGAGAAGAGTAATAAAAAGTAAGATGAGAAGAGTAATAAAGAGATAGACGAGGAGAGTAATAAAGAATAAGATGAAGATAGAATAAAGAGTAAGACGAGAAGAGCGGTAAAGATGAAAAATTAATGTATGAGGTGCAACAGAAATATACGCATGATAAAACATTAAAGCTTACTTAGAACGACAAAAGGCACGAAGTAGTGGAGGGCTATGATCGGCCTCGTCCTTAAAAGATATAATACATAGAATGATATCTTAGAAATCAGAAGAAAATGGAATGTAGATAAAGAAGGTGAGAGAAAACGTAAAACGAAGCTAGGATAGGGGAGAGTTACATTTTGGGCACGACTCTCCGTAATGTCAATAAGAGATACTATTCCCTGTCACTGACGAAATGCGGTCATTCTGCGCGTTGGTGGTAACAAATTTATTTTTTCGATGTAGGACAAGAAAGGTACAATAAACATGAGGCCAGGCGTAGTATGTAAGGACAGAAATTCCATTTTAGCCCATCTCCAAAATGGAATATATTTTTATGTCACTTTCAAAGATGCTATCTTACATTCGATTTTAGCTAACTATTGGTATGCACGCAGGCATACACACATGTCTATTAATCATTCTACCTACCTATATATATATATATATATATATATATATATATATATATATATATATATGTGTGTGTGTGTGTGTGTGTGTGTGCGTGTGTGTGTAGACTGATTGATAGACATGTGTGTATATACAGTGCTGTTCGATAAAAGTGACTCACCTGATTTTTTTTTGCTAAAAATATTTTTTGTCTATTTTTTTGTTAATTTTAATCTTACTAATATAAAAACCCCTTCTCGACAACCTAGGAAAAAAGTTTATTCACCCTAAGGTATTCTATTGATAATTATAAATTTGGATATAAACGAGATTCAGGAAAAAACTCTGTGCAAAAAAAGTGACTCAGATATCGCATTCTAATGATTAAACTGGTAAATTTAAAGAAGTTTTGACAAAATATTGAAAACTATTTTACAATACACCCAGAACAATATTCTAAAGTATTTTAGAACAGCTTAAATTAAATCTAGAGTATTCCAGAATATTCCAGAAAGCCTCATACAGTATAAAAACAGCTTGAAATAACCACTCAAGTCACTAACCAGATGAAAGGGGACAAACACGCATCAGAAGGTATCTATTATTTCCCTCTCAAAAGCAGGGAAATTGCAGAATTTGCTATAACCTCTTAATCAACTGTCTCTCGGGTGCTTAGGGCACATAATTCTGCCACTCCTGCTCCAAGGAAGGAAACAAAGGGACAAAAGAAAAAGATTGATGATAGAAATGGCAGGGTAATCAAGAGAGAGGTTGCGAAGAATAGGACTATAACTAGCCAAGAAAATGCAGCCAGTCTAAGCGAAGAGCAATGTGTTAGTCTTGCCTCTTGAACAGACCGTCGGTGGCTGTTAGAACAAGGCTACAAATCTTGTACACGAAGGTTTAATCCGCTAATAAGCAAAGCCAACAAAGCTAAGAGAATTGAATGGGCTCACTATTACAAAAATTTCACCGTAGAAGACTGGAAGAATGTTCTCTTCTCCGATGAAACGAAATTTGAACTAAATTCAAAGGATAAGGTGAGTTACTTTAGAACAGCACTATATATTTTTTTAAAGCATTGTGCCCCAAGCAAGGCGTGAAGCCACTAGGATGCAGGGGGTTGCGGAAGATTTGGAGCGAGAGCAGATAAGAGTGATAGGAGAAAGGAAGAGGAGAAGGATAATGGGTAGATCAAGGTAATTGGAGATGTCGATTGACATTACATTTGAATAGTTGGAGATTATAGCTTTCAGGGAAACAGTAATTGGGGAGGGTGTTCCACTGGCGAGAGGTGCGAAGTATGAAGCTATTGGAGTAGAAGAGGCGGCTACATTTGAAGGGTGAGAGCGGGATGCCAGCCTCGTAGGGCGCTTGAATTCATGGAGTCTGGGAACCAGAGAGAGCAGCTCATCAGAGCAGTTACCATGGAAGTATTTGTAGAAAAGACAGAGAGAGGCGACGGCGCGTCTGTCAGAGAGTGACTGCAAACAAGACGCTAGATCAGGGCCAATTAGATTACATATCCTTCTCTGGATCTTGTCAAGAACTCCGA